TAATTATAAACCTCACTTATGCAGTCGAATCAAATATTGCTAAACTTATTATGACATATTTTATTATAAAGTCAAAAATTGCATGATTTTTGATTATGAACCTGATTTTATAAAGTCAAATATTGCATAATTTTTGATTATGACCTCCCTTATGAAGTCGAATATTTCATGATTTGCATGATTATCATGTGACTTATAACACTAATAAAAGTAAAGTTTTTTTACTAATGACATAATTTGCCATGTATTCAACCTCTCATTCGATACTTTCATATGACTCATAAGCGCACTAATCAAAATATAAAAAAAAATTTGACATGTAAATAACAATTCAACATACTATTTCTATTTAACTTTTCACTTGATAGTATCATATGACTTATGTCCGAAATTCTACGCTAACTACTCCGGACATCTATTGATTCACATAATTAGCCAAAAAGATCAAATACATAAAGTAGTCAAAGAAGCACTAATTGAAAAAGAATATACGTTTAAATAGATTGGCTATATTTGACTAATTTGCAGCTTTTGGATGATAGTCAAATGATGGTCCAGAAAATAAATGTAAGAAATAATACAAAAAATAGCTAGTTTTTTTTTTACATTATTTGATTTTTTTTTATATCCTTCATTTAAATGTATTTCTATATTTGTGACTTTCTTTAAATTGTGCTACTGTTAGAACAATCAAGATTCGACCAGGCTGAATGTTATATTTAGCACATGAAATTAAATTAATTCAACTCATGAATTTATAATTGAAAATTAAAATTCGATTTACAAATTTATAGTCGAAAAAAATCAACCTTAGTATATATGTATATACATACAGCATAAATTAAGATCGATTTTAATTTCATCGAATTTTAAATATACTAAATATAACGTTCAGCCTGGTCGAATCTTGATTGTTCTACCAGTGTATTGAGATATCAAAAAAGGTCTTTATTATATTTGGAATTGTATTGTAGGACCTACTTTGTATTCTAATTTTTATATATTATAATCAGTATATAATTAATATAATTAACGACTATAACATCATTTTGAATTGTCTAAAAGTAACATAAAATCATAATCAATCTTAAAATCATCGTGAATTGTGAATTGACTTTTAACATACCGAATGTCATTGATTTTCTTTTTTCAATAGTATGAAGTCATATTTCTTATAACATATCGAATATTATTGATTTTCTTTTTTAATAGTAATGTATTGGCGCATAACAGATCGATTTTTTCAATATTATAAAGTCAAATATTGACTTATAACATATCGAAAGTTATTGATTTCTTTTTCATATTGACGTATAACTGATCAATTTTTTTTTCAATAGTATAAGTCAAATTTACATATTGGTGCATAACAGATCAATTTTTCAATAGTATAAAGTCGAATATTAACTTATAACATATCAAAAGTTATTGATTTCTTTTTCGTATTGATGTATAACTAATCGATTTTTTTTCAATAGTATAAGTCAAATTTATATATTGGCACATAACAGATCAATTTTTTCAATAGTATAAAGTTGAATATTGACTTATAACATATCGAAAGTTATTAATTTCTTTTTCCTATTGATGTATAACTGATCGATTTTTTTTTCAATAGTATAAGTCAAATTTACATATTGGTGCATAACAGATCAATTTTTTCAATAGTATAAAGTCGAATATTGACTTATAACATATCAAAGTTATTAATTTCTTTTTCATATTGATGTATAACTGATCAATTTTTTTTTAATAGTATGAGTCAAATTTACATATTGGTGTATAATGATCGATTTTTTTTTTAAAGTCAATTTTATGTATTGGCTTATAACATATTGAAAATTATATTTTGACACATAACAGATCGTTTTTTTTTTTCGCCAAATTTATATGTTCATAACAAAGTCAACTTTTGTTAAGCAATCAGAATTTAAAAATCATTTATATATACAACCATTTTGAACAATTTTTTTTTTTTTTGAGAAACTTCTCTTCTCTTCTTTTCTCTAAATTTCTCTTCTCTAAATTTCTTTTCTCTAAATTTCTCTTCTCAAAATTCTCTTCTCAAAGTTTTTTTTTTGCTAAATTTTTTCTTTCAAAATTTTTTTCACTTCTCTTTTTGAATCTCTTTTCTTCTCTTTACTTCTTTTCACTTTACTTCACTTCTTGAATTTCTTTTTTTTTCAAATTTCTCTTCTCTTACCGAATTTCTCTTTTTTTTTCTCTTACCGAATTTCTCTTCACTTCCTGAATTTTCTTTTTTAATCGAATTTTTCTTCACTTTCCAAATTTCTCTTCACTTTTTGAATTTTTTTCTCTTCCCGAATTTTTTTTCTCCCGAATTTCTCTTTTCTTATCGAATTTCTCTTCACTTCCCGAATTTCTCTTCTTTTCTCTTATCAAATATCTCTTCACTTCCCGAATTTCTCTTTACTTTTCGAATTTCTTGTTTTACTCTTTTCATATCAAATTTCTCAATTTCTCTTTTTTTATTGAATTTCTGTAATTTCTCTTTTCTTATCGAATTTTTCTTTACTCCTTTCTTATTGAATTTCTTTTTACTTCTCAAATTTCTCTTCTCAAATTTTTTTTCACTAAATTTTCTTTTGCCATGGCTAGAACAAAAAGAGTTCGACGAACAACACCCCAAGCTGATGTCTATCTACCACAACTCATCGTCAACCTAACAATACACCTTCAACTCCAACAACACCAACTCAACGTCAACCTAACAATACACCTTCAACTCCAACAATACCAACTCAATAGCAACCTAACAATACACCTTCAACTCCAACAACTCCAACTCAACCTCAACCTCCTTTGACTCCAACTCAACCTTAACCTCCTTCGACTCTAACTCAACCTCTACCTCCTTCGACTCCAACTCAATTTCAACCTCCTTCGACTCCAACTCAACCTCAACTTACATCTTCAACTCCAATTCAACCTCAATCTAACAATTCACTTTCGACTCCAATTCAACCTTCGACCGATTATCAGGAAATGTGACTTCTGTTGAATTTGTTACTCCTATCCTGAGGTCTCTTGTGAGAACAAATAGAAGCAGAAGCAGAAGTGGAGAACGAACTGAATCTTTGTTCAGCTTTGATCTATTGGAAAGGAGTAAAAGACTGGAGAATAGTAAATCTACTGGTAGAATTTAAATAGCTGTCGAATGCTGATTTTATTTTTTTACTTTTTTTTATATTTTTTACTAT